TCACATCCTTGGCAGTCACATTTTGAACTCCTTCCTTTTCCAAGTCTTTGGGCAAACTCCATATGCCGCAATTGGCACACCCTTATATGCATTAGCAAAAACTATATTCCATGTGTTACAACATTAGTGGATATTTATTGGATACTGTGATGTAAACTTCGTATAGATAAGCAAATGCAGTGCAGGAACTACAAAATTTGACCTAATGCCATAACTTGGTCGACATGATATGTGCTCGATCCACAAGTCCTTGGTGCTAGGGCCAATTGAGACGCATTCATCTCCCATTTTGATGGTTCTTGACAATTGAACATAGATGCCATCAGTGTTGGATCTATTGCCTGAGGTAATGATTTTGACCTCTTGAATGTTAACATCTTGGCACCTGTTTTTCACAATGTGGAGGATCGGTTGTGTAACGCATTAGCTCGTTGATCCTAGTTTAGTTACGCCCAGTACATGATATACTAACCGTTGCAAGCTAGGGCAATAAGTGCTTCTAACTAACTTGCACGCCCGCAAAGAATTATCATAGCGGAATCACGTAGAGGCACAAGGTGCACTTCATGCATCCACAAAAGTTTGAGTGAATCAGTTATACCATTCGGCTTAGCTCTAAAGCGCAGGACGTAAGTTAAAGTAGTACTCCCAGCAACAAAATGATTTGTGTAAGATAAAGAGAGATGAGTTTTTTTCTTCATTTTTTGTGATGAAACCAGGATGAGGCAGGTAGGGAATAAAACTGAAACCAGTGGGAGGGAGAAGATGAAAGGAGAGAGACCTCTATCCGGGGGTTTGGATTTAGAAGGGAAGATGGAAAGATTTTGCGTTCCTAGCCGCATGATTCTATTGAACGCCATAATTTTGGGATCTCGAGGCTTTGAATAGAAAGATCTGAATGCAATCTTAATCTAATAAGTATGAGGTTCAAGTGGTGGATTGTTCTAGCGGTTATGACCTTCATTTTCAACCCCTGTGTTTCAAGTTTAAACTCTCCCCAATCTACCTAAAAAATGACATAAGGAGAAAAAACAGTGTGTTGAATTTTTTTGTACATTTACCTAAGTATAATTTGTAGCCACATCACCACTTAGTACTACGGTCCAGTAGTATTTCTCTTCATTTGTAAGTGAAAAGTCTTAAGTTCGATTCTTACCAAAGGTAAATTTAAACCACATTATAACCGTCCATTGTGAGGCTTAGCCAACTCCCTCACTCCCTTAGTGTAGTTAATATCATTTGCTAAAAAAAATAAAGAATTTTTAGCCACGTCTATTTCTTTTTTTGTGGTCAAACTAGAAACTTTCATGAATTAAATAAACTATTACATAAAATAGAAAGCGCTAAGACAATCCATAAACAAACATAATCTAAAAGGAAATACAATCTATGGCCCAAAAAGAGCAAGCTCACAATAACAAAAACCTAGATTTGGAAGATTGCTGCCTCCACCACAAAGCTCCACCACTATCTCAATCCGCAATGACAACAAAAGGAAGAACCCATGAACAAGCTAGATGAATGGAAAATGGGGGTGAGCGAGCCACCCACGTAAAAAGTGCTCCCCTAATCCTACCAAATAGTGGTAAAAGCACTTTAACAACTACTCAATAGCAAAGTGAGCCACCTATAGGAGACGCGATATGCCGAGTAGCAAAAGGTCGGCAGTAAAGGACTGATAATAGGGAGAAGCAATGGAGGAAGAAAGAGGCATAAAAGCCCAAATCTCAAACAAGCTCAAAGAAACTAGACATTAAGGAGGAATATTGGAAAAGCTTAAGAGAGGGGAGGGAATGAGTGGGGTTGAGAAGAAATAATTGGGAAAGGGCAGATAAACGTTCCCAAGTTAGAGGCTAAGTGCTCGGGGTTAAGTCTTTAATAGTGTAGACTTTCTAGCAGTCATACTTTAATATTAACCATTCATTTCTCATACTACTGAGTAGTCTAGACTATGAGGAGAAATTGCATGTTTGAGCCTTGATGCCTTTAACTGTTGAATATTTTAGGAAGCATTAATGAAAAGGGCTTGGGCTAACTTCAGTTTAACCAAAAACCACATAATAACTTTATTTAATAAAAATGACATGAATTTTAATGAAAAAGGACAAAAACTATAAAAAAACAAACCTAACTAAAGAGCCCACAAGCTGGAAGCAAGCCCAGCATGCAAAATATTTTATTTTTCCAATCCATGCCCCTGACTGAACACTACTTTCGTCAACCCAGCCCGTTTAGAATTTTTATCATTTGCTTAATTTGTCTTATTGTCTTGCAATTGCATGTGCAATTAGGCATGGGGTTATCAATATTTCATACATCAAATTATATTTCTTCTACCGTTATTGCTACTGTCGTCCTACTCACTTTCTTAATTATTTTTTTTCCACTAAATTACTCAACCATCCACTATAGGATAGTTTTCCGATTAAATTTATCTTTTTATAGACAACTAGTTATGTAAACTGCCATCAAATTAAAATTACATAATAGTACTATCCCATTAAACTATGATAGACAATAACGAATTAATTGTCTTGTATTGCAGCTTTACAAGTAGCCTTGTTATGTCCTAGCAACAACCTGAAACAAATGAACCAAAAATGCATCAAAATCGTACTAAAAATTTAATATTTCTCTATTCTTCGAGTAAAAAAAAAAAAAAAGAGTTTTAATGAACAGGGATTAGGCTAATTTTAATTTAACTAAAAACTATCTTAAACTATTCTTTAACCAAAATGGCCTAAAATTTAACCATAAGGACATAGGCTGAATAAAAGAAATAGGTTGAATTAAAAGTCCAACACGTAATAAATATTTTTTTCCTTGCTTGCCCCTAATGGAACTTAATCCAAGCCTGTTACTAACTTCACAGTATTTACCATTCTACCAACGTCCTCTCACCAACTGCCATTAATACAAAAAACAACCCACTGACACGATAACTTCCATGGTCATCTACCCACTTCTTATTTCGCAAACACAAATCCTCTTTCAAACAAGCAACAACACCAGAAAATTAAAAATAAAATTCAATTTCAACTTCCATTCCCGTTTCAAAAAGATACATTTGCAGACAACCAAGAACCAATCCGTAGAAGAAATAGAGAATTTAGCAAAACTGTAAAATAGAGGTACTAATCTCATTTCCTTGTTATTTCTTACTTTCAAATTATGTTTGCATGTTTGTGATCCATAAACTGAGCAATGTTTCTATAAGAAAACTGTAAAACGATGGATTTTGTTTTTAATGCACTATGATTACTACTAGTTTTTTTTTTCTTCAAATCAAGAACTAGTTCAAGTCTAGAAATAGTGTATTTTGCACTACTCTTAAAAAAAAAATTAAAAAAAAAAAACTGGTTTGTTAACTGTGTTTTCTTCTCTTTCAGAAATAGTGTTAGTTATTTTAGTTCAGTCATAAATTATGTGTAATTTTGCGGTAGTTCTAGAAATAGTGTGCATTATTTTTGGTTCAATTTTGCAAATCGTGTATGTTATATTGTTGTATTTCTTGAAATAGTCTTTATTTTGTTCCTTTCTAAAAATAGTGTGGGTTATTTTGGTTCAGTTTTTAAAATAATGTGGGTTATTTTGCTATAGTTCTAAAAATAATGTGGGTTATTTTGTTGTTATTTCATAAATAGTTTTTATATTGTTCTATTCCCTAAATAGTGTGAGTTATATTGGCTCAGTTTTAAGAAATGGTGTGGGTAATTTTGCTGTAGTTCCAACAATAGTGTGGGTTATTTTGGTTCAGTTTCAGAAATAATGTTTGTTATTTTGCTGTAATAGACACTATTTATGAAACTAGATCCATAAGTGGATACTATTTAAGAAACGAAACCAAGAATTAGACACTATTTTTAAAACTAAACCAATAGGTGAAAACTATTTATGAAATTAGACTATACACTATTTAAGAAACTAGACCAATAACTAGACATTATTTATGAAACTGGACCTATAAGGAAACACTATTTATGAAATGAAACCAAGACTTGGGCACTATTTCTAAAATTGATAGAGGATAAATGAGCATTAGAAAGCAATGTGAGAGTGATTTGTCAATCCTTGCATGCAATGTGTTTAAATCCATCTTACAAATCTTTGTAACGCTCACATAATGCACTTCTAATCCTTCCTATCTAACGTTTGGTGATCTGATCCCTTTACCCACTTGACATCAAAATTTTGGGATTTGGAAGTTGTAACATTTTTCATGTTATAATTTCACATTTACAATTAAGATATATTTGCATCACAGACACGCGACCGATAATCTAAACAAATTCAATACCCTTTTTCCCATATGATGCTAATTTTTAAGAAATCTATCACCTTCACCAACAAATTTATTCATGAAATAAGTCAAAACATAAATTAACTTTCACCAAAAAATTCTCAGAATTATTTCCTACCTACCACCCATCCAGATTTAACTTCGTTTTCCAAAAACAAATTATATTGATTAATAAGGAGCAGGAGCTGTATGTGCATATGCAATAACTTTAATGACACACTTATTGCTAATTAACAATTCAAGATAGCTTAAGCTGAATTATTTTCCCTAAACCTAAGTAAAGACCAACCCAAAATCCCATCAAATATCCTTCATGATTCCCAACAGCAGCAGACTCCATTTCAGTCAAACAAAACATATTAGATAATATTCTACCACATACAAAAGTTAGAATAAAAATTCACATTACCAGAAACAGGGGGAGAAATTGGGGGAAAACTCAAATTAAACTCAATCTTTGGAAAAACTAAAAAGTCTCGTAATATATATTTGTGAGAAGTGAGAACCCTAGAACCCTAGAAAGGGAGGTAAGAAAATCACCAGATTGAAGAGTGCTTGTGCTTATATGCTCTTTTGTCGCATTAATCGCCTGATCACAGGAATAATGGAGCAAGTGAAGCTACTAGAATTTTGGCCAAGCCTGTGTGTTTGCAGAGTGATATGGGCTCTAAAGCTCAAGGGTGTGAAATATGAGTACGTAGAACAGGACCCTTCCAACAAGAGTGAAATATGAGTAGGTTGGTTTGAATGCGCTTTTAAAATAATTAAAAGGATTTTTGATGAAAATCATTTTATACTTAAAATATTTTAGTCGTCAAGATTATAAAGGCATACGTCCGATCCAATCAATGGCTCCGGAGCTCCGCCAACCAACTCATCACCCTTGCGAACAAATAAATCAGTCGATCAAGCGACGGTGCTGGTCTTTCCACGTTACCATGCAGCTCATCCTGCTTTCGATTATGAACACGTGGAAAGCCAGTCGTACATCGTCCACAAACCTCGCACGTGCAGAATCTGTACACTAACAGGCCACATCAGTTAGTCGCACGTGCGAAACGCTTCCGACTATAAATTTGGAAGGCAGAAGCCGCTCCGCTGAAAAGAGGAACAGCGAAGCTCCCCTCCGGCGAATTCCGGATAGAAATTATCGTCATTTTCAGTTCGATTCTTGATTAATTTTGTTTTGTTATCATCATTTTCAGTAATCCAATAGAAGTTATCGTTTTTTTCCGGCGAATTCCGTTTCCAAGCCGACCCAGTAATCAGCCGAATAGCGTAGAGAAAGGGGGGAAATCTCATTTTTGTTATGCCAACTTGGGTTAAGGAGAATCCCATTATTTGTTAGTGGTCATGCCGTACCGTGTTCGTGAAAATCTGTTCATCGGCAACATCAGTGATGCAGCAGAGATTCTCCAAAATGGTAGCACAGAGATCACGCATATTCTATCGCTTCTTAGTTCAGCGTCGGTATCGTTTTTCTTCGAATGGAAGGGTTTAACAATTCCCACAAAGGAAATTAAGAAGGTGTATGCTGGCGGGTCTGGTGGTGCCTCGGCTTCCGAGGATGATTCCGGTGACGGGAAAGAAAGTTGTTCAGCGTCCGATAAGCTTTTGTACTTGTTGGAATATGCAGGCAAGGATTTGAAGCTGGTGAGAATGGGGGTTCCACTGAGAGATATGGAGAATGAAGATTTGTTGGATCATTTGGACGTATGTTTGGATTTTATTGATAAGAGTAGAAAAGAGGGGTCTGTTTTGGTCCATTGCTTTGCTGGCGTGTCTAGAAGGTACTCACATTTTGACCCTTTATTGTTTTTCTGTTTAGTTTTATTCTGGTTCTTGCTAATACCTTCAATCGGCTTGATTACCACAAGTGAACGTAGCTGCAGTTAGCTCTATGTTGGTATTCATTCAACTTGATTCCAGGAACAACAATGTTCTGTTTAAAGATACTTGTCCTCTTACTGAATGTTCTGCAACTCCATTTCTTATAGCAAATCCACAGTTGTTGAATGCGTACGATAAATTATCTTTGAACCCTTCATAAGGCTGAAACAGCATGTGAATTTTTTATAGTCTACCTGGTTTTACTGCGTGTCTTTTAATACTATTTTTGCTTGTTGTGACTGATAGTATCCTCTTCGCTTTTGGGTTTTATTTTTCTTAAACCTGCAAGTTTTGTTAGAAAAGTTAACAATTAGAGCTGCGGACAATTCTGCAAACATATATCGGAAATTGTCAAAAGGCCCCCATGCTCTTAGTTTTTCCAGTTTTCTGAATCCAAATTTATAGCGTTTTCAACCTTCTTTGCGTGTGTCCATTGCAGTGCAGCTATCATTACAGCATATCTGATGAGAACAGAACATCTATCACAAGAAGGTGTGACAAATCCATTTTAAGTATTGCTAGTCTTCATATATAGCTGATTGCTGCTGTTGTATTTTTTTTGAAATCCAAATAGTTCTCGTCAGTTTGAGATAAAAATAGTTTTGACACGCGTGTATAACTTGAAAGGGTATAAAAATGTCTAAGTAATTGAATTGGGAAAAAATACAGCCAATTAATGCTTAACTGCTCCGACTTTAACCCCTTTCTTCCCTCATACGTATTCCTACAGATGCACTAAAGTCCCTGCGGCAAATCTGTAAGTCTGTTTGCCCCAATGATGGTTTTCTTGATCAGGTGATGCAAGACTGTCTTCTAACACTTAATGACATTACATTCTGATATACTCATTTGCAATTAGCCCATAATGAATTTTACTCTTCTATTTGATCCTCGCAGCTAAAAATGTATGAGAATATGGGCTTCAAGGTGGATCATGCCAGCCCCATATATAGGTCTTTTCACCTGAAAGTATTAGGTACACTTTCCTTTCTTTTTTCTTTTCTCCACCTTCTCTCCCTCCCCCTCCACCTCTTTCCTTATGTCCCACATGATCTGTCTTAATGAAGAGATGATTGATACATCATGTTTTCGTGTTTTAATTTTTTAAAATTTTGATGTGGGAGCTGATAAAAGAGTTCCATAGAGACTAGGCTATAATTCTTGTGCTCTAAGTGGCAAGTTATCATATTTCTGCTTTGCTTGAGTGTCATGTCATACTCATTATAAAACTTATTGTTAGAAAGATAGTAAGGAACATTGCCTTACCTATTTGGATGTGCACCATTATAGGCTGGCAATGGATCAAGCCATGTGTTTTGACCAGTTGAAAGCAATACATTTCACAAGCCCGACTATATAGAACCATGGGGTAATTCATTGCAATTTAAGCTTTATCCGTCATAGGTCAAAAGAATTTTTTTTTAGAGAGAAGTGGATCAAGTGTTTTTTGTTTTCCAATATCAAAACTGCAACCTGTCTCCCCCCTGCAGATGTTGAATCAACTTTTGGGTGGTTATTGCCCAATGAATGTCTTTTGAGAAGTGTGAGGGATGGTGTTTTCGATGGAGTCAATGGCGAATTATTGCTCAACGGATGTCTTTGGGACCATGTGTTTCATTTTGATGCAGTCAGGTCAAATTTTTGATATATTTCGGCTTGCAAATAGGAGCATACTTTGGTGGATGTTGTAGTCCAACTTTGTAGCAAACAGAGAAAGTCTGTCTTGGATGGTAAATGGAAGAAACTCTGAAAGGAACTCCACAACAACAACAACAACAAAGCCTTTTCCCACTAAGTGGGGTTGGCTATATGAATCCTAGATCGCCATTGCACTCGGTTATGTGCCATGTCTTCCATTGGTTCCAACTACTCTTAAGTCTTTTCTTAGAGTCTCTTCCAAAGTCTTCCTAGGTCTTCCTCTACCCCTTCGACCCTAAACCTCTGTCCCGTAATCGCATCTTCTAACCGGAGCATCAGTAGGCCTTCGTTTCATATCTCCAAACCACTGTAACCGATTTTCTCTCATCTTTCCTTCAATTTCAGCTACTCCTACTTTACCTCGGATATCCTCATTCCTAATCTTATCCTTTCTCGTGTGCCCACACATCCAACGAAGCATCCTCATCTCCGCTAATGTAGTTGAGTTATAACCCTTAAACTAACCGTAATCTTAACCATAAAAATGCTTAGGAGTACTAACATTAAAACAGCTAAAATGCTACAGTACCCGTGAACTCTAGCTGAAAATGTCTTGTCCCCTCATCTACCACCTAACCTATTAACAGAAGAAAAGAAATGTTTAGTGGAACAGCGTGACAATTTTGGAAGGAATAGGAAGGCAGTTTTCTTTATGTTCATTTACCATGTGCATCGTTTGGGTCAGCACAGGATATGCCATAACCTACTCATTTTTGGTGGAGTTTTCAAATTTATTGGTAAATGTGAATTTCTGTTTCACTGCTATAATTGAAATACACCCCATCATTTCAGGTGAATCTTATCATCGTGGGAATAGAATAGACAGTTCTATATTTGGAGCAGATCCTGGTGTGGCTACTGAAGTTGCCTCTGGAGTGGAAGAAACTTCAAATGAAGGAAAAACTGTTAAACCAGCTTTCCGCTGCAAGAAATGTCGAAGAGTTGTTGCATTGCAGGACAATGTTGTGGATCACATTCCAGGTGAGGGAGAGCAATCCTTCAGCTGGCACAAGCGAAAAAGTAGCAACTCATATAATAAGTCTAAGGATTCTGAATCTGAATGTTCATCCATTTTTGTTGAGCCTCTAAAGTGGATGGCAGCAGGTAAATTTACATCTCTCAATTCCTTTTTTTGGAGGTTCGTGTCCTTGTGACCTGCTTTGATTAATTTGAATGCTGTAGAATTGGATGAGCACTCTTCCATTTTTGTACCCGTATGAACTGCCTTTTCCATTGCCACAATAGTTAATCAAGCAAGTAGCGGACTATTGTTGAATGGGATTTACTTGGTTTCTTTAATTTGATTGTTATGACATAATGACATAAATATTACAGTTGTTCAACTTGGATATTATATTATCAATTTGTAGCTTAAGATTCAATTAATTGTGAATTTATTAATTGCTGGTGGCATCTTCTCCATTACACAGTCGAAGAAGGTGCAATGGAGGGAAAGTTGTCCTGTGTGCATTGTGAGGCTCGCTTGGGTTACTTCAATTGGGCAGGCACCCAATGCAGTTGTGGAAGCTGGATCACCCCTGCCTTCCAGCTCCACAAAAGCCGAGTTGACGTCAGCACCATCTAATATCTGTCAAAAAAAGGAGAAAGGGTCCAATACCTCTCCAAGGAATATTTAGTACATCAGTAGTGCCAGAATACCGTTTAACAAGGTATAAAATTTCGGAGACAATCAGCTATCCACAGAGGAAAAGGAGTCTTGTTGATCAAGTTTTTCATACTGTGTACTGAGGTTTCAATTGAGCAGCTGCAGCCTGCAGCTATAAAAATGCAGTGTTGATCTGTCGCAAATAAGATTTTGGAGATTCGGGTTTTGTTTTTCGTTCTTTCGTACGGGAGCTCAGTTAGGTAACTGAAAATGTTGCCATGGAGGTATGTTTGGCATGAACTGTTATGGTTACAACTAGAATTCAAGTCTGCGTTGTAATAACATGGTAAAGTGGTACAGGAAAGTACAAAATTACCCTTTCATCTGTTTCTGTTCAAAGTTCATGATGTTTGGTTAAAATGGTCCATTTGAGACATTCAACAGTACATGTCAAGTTGAGAGATTATCTAACAAAACGTTAAGAGCAAGGGCAGTTGAGATTAACAAAATGTTTTATGTTTTTATCGCAAGTGACTCTTTACCATAGTAATGGAAATGAGTTGTGCCCTGCATCTCGGCATGGGTTTGAATCTCATCGGCTCCTAATCTAACGTCTAATTTAATAAAATTTATCGTTTGTATCAAATAGAAAATAACATCTAATTCATGTCAATTAGATTTTGTTTCTGTAGTTTTGATTTGAAAACAAGTCAGTTGGGCCTAATGGCGTAATGAGATTCAAACTTTTAGTAAAATGTTTGGGTAATTTTATTTACACCAATTTATTATCTCTTTACACCCAACTTACTTTTTATACCAATTTTATTTTTAATTGAACTATCAATAGTTCTTTAAACCTAAATTTATTATTTAAACTACCCTTACAAACTCAATTTAATATGTAAATTTATCCTTACACCCATTTGAAAATAAAAAACCAAAAAAATAAAAGTATTCTCTCCTCTAACGTGCTCCTTCTAACAGTTGCTTTTGATGGAATCTCCATCACCCTCTATATCATTACTCTCTCAACTTAGTTTCGTATTTATCGAGACTTGATAGTATTGGTCAATTTTCTCATTAGATTTGTTGAGAGGAAGTCCTTGAATTGCTGCTTAATCATTCATTACACTGTAAGAGCCAATTTTTAATATGATAGCATCACAATGCATGTTCTTATTTGACATATCCGGGTAGAATTCAATGACTAAAGTTGTTTAAGGTGTTTTTGAAATTAGGCTCACGTGCCTCATATGTTCCCATGTTTACAATTTAAAAATATTTCTTAAGATCATTTCTTAATTTTTTTTTTATTAAGGTTAAAAAACTTGATTGGTATAAGATTTAAAATTATTTTTTAACAATTAAAAAGGAAAAAGATAAAAGAAAACCCTCCCTTCACCCTCAACCTCCCCTTCCCCTACCCTCCCTTTCTCTCTTCATTCAGTCGTCCTGATCTCCATGACCAAACATGGCAAGCACTTCACAAAAATACCCAAAATTAACAAAAAATTCTAAGCAAATCGCTTGCAGATGCAGTTCTCTGGAATCTCAACGACAAGTTTGTACATCGACTGGTTGAGTGGCATTTGATACTGAATAAGACAAATATGGAGAAACCAATCTCGACGGCGAAGTTGAGGATCCGCAAGAGGAAAGCGTCGACAGCCAATCAAACGAAGAAAGGTGTTAGGTTGGCTTGAAGTCGGGTTTCACGAGGTTTGTGGCGAGGGCGAAGAGGAAGCAGAGATCAAAGCTTGTCGGCGCTTTGAATGTTGGTTGCGATATCGAGAGGAAAGAGATTGCAAAGATGAAAGAAAAATTCTAAAAACTCACTTTATTTGTTTTTAAGTAATAAGCTAAAGTTTTGAGGTATAATTGAATTTGGATTTCAAGAACAGGCTTGCCAAACGCAAATTTTTGGTTTGGAACTCAAAAATTGTTTTTGAGCTTAAAATAATGAATCTGAGTTCAAATACTAAATGGATCACTTAGTACTACGGTATAGTGGTATTCTTTTTTACTTGTAAGTTTTAGTTTTGAATCTCGTAAAATGCGAGTTTATATTATTGCTAGCCCATTATGATGTTTTAAGCTCTCTCCGTCTCCTTAGTGTAGATAATATCGTTCGTTAAATAAAAAAAGTCAAGTTTTGGAGGCAGTAGTCCCAGCGTAGTTGCGTAGTCCAAGTTTGCAAACCTACAATTTTTTTTTTTTGAGTCTTAATGAAACATTCCTAATACTATTTACAAGCTTTTCAGGAAATGACTCTAATTTAGAATTGTGGTTAATGAATATTTATCAAGATAGCCAAACTCTAATAGTAAGACTGGGATAACTTCTACTACATTATACTTCTTCTGATGCTTATAATTAAAATGTGATGGTCTAAAATCTCTCATGTTAATCCTGGCCACAACCATACTAACATCTGGTTTACAAATACAACTTATGTATTATCACAAAAATATGGTGGATATATCTTTGTAATAATATTCATCCTTGGTTTGGATCAAAGATGGACTGATACAAAGCACATTATAATTGTAATTGTAACTCTTTCATGGACTGATATTCTGCTCATGATCTCATTTTGCATGTTTAGTGGCATTATTCTTAATTTTTCTTTTGAACTTTCTTCTAATAAGATATCATCTATTTTTAATTCTAATGGTATATTTCTACAAAATCTTTCATATCTTTCTTGTTTTTCTTTATCAGATGCTGATGCTACTCATTTATTTGATGCTATTGCATTTCAATATCTTCTTCTAAGAGCTTAATCTTAATCTCTCTCTTTATGGGCTCATTAGCCTTTTATTCTATGGGTTCAGTAACTTCTTTTTCTTTATTCTTATACTGATAAGTTTCTATGCCTTTTTTTAATTCTTTTTTCAGAGTATTACTTGCCTTTTGCTGCATTATAAGAGATTAGAGTTCTTGGTTCATTTTGATGAACTGATTAAGCAATGCCTCATGGTCTCTAGAAAGGGCTTAGAGGCTGTTTTCAAGAGAATGAATATGATACTAGTTTTGATGAAGATTAAAATTAAAACTATCAAACTCTTGTTCTAAAGCTCTAATTAAGTTTTCATGACCTAACATCATGCTTGACTGCTTGATTTGAACATTCCAAAAATTATCTAAAAGAACCTGCTACCTATCAGTGAGTCTTGGTACCCTTGGCCTATACCTCAAAGTTGGATTTTTTATTCCTTCAATTATAGTGCCATTAAAGTTAAAGGTAAGTATTGATGGTGATACTGGTCTGCTATTACTATTTTGAAATCCACTATATGGAGGTCCATGCTAGTCTTCTGCCTTGTGGTCTTGTGCTATTTGACAATGATGGTCCACGATATTCCATTCATGTTCAATGAATTAGTCTTAATAAAATATTAACTAATTTATTATCACTACCTTTAATATGTTCAAAAATTGATTTAAAACCATTTCCTGTAATTGAATCAACAAAATTGACCCATCTTCGGGCTGCCTGTTTATTAGTATGTACCTTATTATAATGAGAATATATATTTTGACACTCAGTTCTTACTGTAAATACTTCACTACGTAAAAATAAAGAAAATGTTTCAAGTAAGTTAATTATTCTTAAAATTTCTATATCTGTTACTAGTAATCTTGATTGTACATCACTATATTTTCTTGATGAATATTTACAAACTTGTTCATCAGACTTTGGTGTTTCCTTATGCTTTTTCTGATATGGTATTCATGCCCATCCTAGTGATGATGCATATGGTTCAACTATCTCGTAACTATCATCTAATGACAATGTTAATGACTTAAGCTTTGTAATTTCTTCTTTTATATTTTGAGCTAGTTTAATATCTTCAATAGTAAAATACTTTTTGTCCTGCTTTGCTAATCTTACTATGTAATACCGCTATTTTTCTTCCTAAATTAAGGATAAAATTTCTTGCATAATTTAACAATATTAATATTGTCATGTTTTGCTAGTTTTACTATGTAATATTGCTAATTGAAGTATTACAGCTTTTACTTGTCTAACATGACATTTTGAGTGGCTTGTTATGTCATTTGGCCTTAAAAATGCCCCGTCAATCTTTCAAAGAAAGATGGATCAAATTTTCAAAAAAATATGATAATTTTTGTAGCATTTATATAGATGATATCTTAGTACATAGTAAAAATCAAAATAAACATAAAAAAATCATATACAGATAGTTTTACAATAATTTATTGATAAGGGATTTGTAATTAGCAAAAATAAAATTAGAAAAGCAAGATATAAAATTTTTAGGAAGTATATTAAGTCAGGTACAATACATTTACAAGATCATATAGCCAAAAAAGTTTTAGAATTTCCATATAAGTTAGAAGATAAAAAACAACAGTATTACATTATAAAAATAGCAAAACAGGACAATATTAATACTGTAATACTATCTACATGAAGTATCTCATATAGAATTTTTACTATGTAATATTGTCTAATTGAAGCATCTTTATATAGGCTTCTTCTTCTAAGATTGGATATTCATTGTAACATCCCACATTGTCCAGGGAAGTGGATCTTGTAAGCTTTATATGTATATTCTCATTTCTACCTAGTACGAGGCCTTTTGGGAGCTCACTGGCTTCGGAGTTCATCAGAACTTCGAAGTTAAGCAAGTTCACGTGAGAGCAATCCCAGGATAGGTGACCCATTGGGAAGTTTTCGTGTGAATTCCCAGAAACAAAACCGTGAGGGCGTGGTTGGGGCCCAAAGTGGACAATATCGTGCTACAGTAGAGTCGAACTCGGGATGTGGTGGAGGCTCGGGCCGGGTGTGACAATTTGGTATCAGAGCCAATCCTTGGCCGGAAGTGTGCCGATGAGGACGTCGGGCCCCTAAAGGGGATGGATTGTAACATCCCACATCGCCCAGGGGAGTGGATCCTGTAAGCTTTATATGTATATTCTTATCTCTACCTAGTATGAGGCCTTTTGGGAGCTCACTGGCTTCAAAGTTTATCGGAACTCTGAAGTTAAGCGAGTTCGCGCAAGAGCAATCCCAGAATGGGTGACCCACTGAGAAGTTCTTGTGTAAGTTCCCAAAAACAAAACTGTGAGGGCGTGGTTGAGGCCCAAAGTGGACAATATCATGCTATGGTAGAGTTAAGCTCGGGATGTGGTGAGAGCCCGAGCTGAGATGTGCCATTCATGTTCAAATATTTCTTCATCAAATTCTTTTATATTATTATGTTCATCATTTTCTTTTGAGTTTTCTAAATAATAATTATCTTGACTGCTAGATTCTTTTATACTTATGCTTTTATATGCTTCTAAAGTATTACTTTGATCAGTAATGATTATTGCCCTACTGAAAAATGTTATGTTAGATTTATAAATAAAAAACATTATAAA